TACGAGGCGCGGCTTGAAGTTCAGAGGCTTGAAGGAGGATTGTGGTCACAGAACCATGCAGGGTCGATGTGGGTTCTGCCGCAGACACTTCAAGAACTCTACAACTTACGACAGCTATGTCGACTTCAATCCAACGCCCTGGCCCGAGCTAGACAATTGGTCGAGAGTGAGCGGAATATACCTCTGAAAGAGTTAATGGAAAATATAGAGGCACCCAAATGTGACCGGTGTGGAACAAAGGCACCAGACATGGTCCTTGCTCTATGTTTCCATCGCTTATGTCGGGATTGTGATGGAGCTGGAATACCAGGCGCTTCCGACGAAATGTTTCAAACCTGCAAGATCTGCTCTCTCTATGGTTTCCAGCGGCCCCGGAGCACTTGATGTATTAGCTACTGCTGTTGAGGTCGCTGCGTTGACCGGAAGTGACATTGCCCTGCGGAAAGCGATGCTTACGAGCGTGAAAGCAAACAAGAAGCGGTGGATGTGGGAAGATCAATAACGGAGGATCATTAAGGTACTATGTTGTAGAAAGTACAGAATTGTGTTTTTGTAGTCCAGAATTCGATGCTACTCTTCATTGCATATGCTTTGATTTCTTTAAACCATAATAAGGGTCATTCACGTTAGCGAGAGAGGAGATGCAGAAAATAGGGGATTGCCATAGGTAACAATACTGAGATCTACATTGCTTGTGAGCAAGAAAAATCGACAATATTTGAATCTGACATTGCGAAGATTTCAATTGAGGGCTAGGAGACCCATTCGCATATTCAGTGGTTTCCCCGTTATGCTTCTCGGCTAATTCATCAGAAAGTTTTCGTATTGCCGCTGTACGATGTTTTTTCGCTGATCTGCCCACGTTCGTTGCAACTTGGGTAAGCGCGTGAAAATCTGCAAGAGGGGAAAATAAGAACAAGGAGCGGAAGTGTCTATCTCCCTAATGTGTGCGGCTCGCGGGCAGGCCTTGATCAATCTGACGGAGGTGTTCTCCCAAGGGGAGGTCCTTCACTCATGTTGCCATTCTTTGCTAATCTTGTTGCGAATATGTTTTTCCTCGTGAGAAAGAAGGCGTCGGAAGGGGTGCTTCTTTTCCAGGCCAGCTGCCTCCTCAGCCAAACGGGCCGCGGTGTCATTGCCGGGGTCGCCACAGGGTCCCGGGACCCATTGGAAGCGCAGTGGAATTTCACGCGGTTTCAGCTCTCCCGCCGACTGGTGGATGGCCTGGATAATGCGCTGGTTGGACTTGTTCCACGAGTTCGCGATCACCTGCAGTGCCGACATGCTATCGCTGAGGATGGTGGCTGGGCCTCGGGTCGTTGTTGCAGCAGCTGGACTTTTCTGTGCTAGATGGAATACCAGCCCGATGGCGTAGTAGATTGCCAAGAGCTCTGCCGCATATACTGACCAGTATTCCATTGAATGGCACTGATTCGATGAGATCCTCTAATCTGATGATTGTGGTCCAGGGCTACTGCTGCTGGGCCCAGAAAGTGCTTCAGTTTAGTCTCAAAAGGGTTTGATTTCGAATGTCCAGGGCAATGGAAATCAAACCTTTTTGGGAATAGTAGACACTAGTCAAGTCTTGAAAAGTACAATCTCCTTGAAAAATCCGAATTGTGTTTGCACACTCAGTTCTAATGGTACAACGTGATTTGTGAGGTAATATGTCCTGGCGAATTATTCGATGAGCAACCTGGTCACTGACTTTCTGTTTTGTGTATGTACCAATCTTCTTGGATACATAACTTCTGCCGCAGAAGATGAACAATTCGAGAGGACCCTTCGTATCCGATAGATTCGTAGAGGTAAAAGACCAAGGCATCTTTTAGCAATTCCATTATTTTGCTGTCTCATGCCTCTGGCTCTTTGTTTCGCTATTTGCTTGCACTCTTTTGAAGGCTTTCACTGAGAACATTTGCTTTGTAGTGTTAGTCTGGAATTGAGCTGTAAGGCGAGCTAATTCTACCTTTCCATTGGTCTCCCCGTCCTTCGGACTTTGCTACTAGTCTAATTCCCGGGCAAGGCTACCATGGCTTGAAACAGCGTACTGGTATCTCTTTAAAATACATCGCGTATTGGTGTCTAATCAATAGATATACGCTCCCGCGGCCCCCATCATTAAATCTCCTGTCCACACCCACAAATTCTCACCTAGTTGGAGCCACTGGCTTATGGACTCACCGTTCGGCAATTCTTTCCCATCATGCACATCGACTTGAGAAACCAAAGACAGCTCAATACTCTGGTGAAGGTCATAAGAGAGTCAAAAATTAAGTTTCTGTGTCCTAAATGCTTCCGAGGCTTTGCTATCCCATCCACTCTATACCGGCATTTCCGACAGAAGAGAGATGAAATCCATAAAGGTCTTGACTTGGGCAGACACGATTCCAGCTTGTTCCTATACTGCTACCGAACTTGTATGGGACCTTCGATAACCGCTACTAACCTACCATGCGCGCCAAGATGCTTTGAACTCTCTTACATCATTGAACATTATGGAGAAGAGACAGAGACCCTGGACAGCCTGAACCCTGGTCATGGTATGCATTATATATATATTAGCTCTGTTGAAGAATCACGTACTGAAACAGCACCCTCCTAGACCAAGCTTACATACCCAAATCTTACACGGTCCCCCCCAACTTCGTTGTCCCGGTCTACTATGATGACCAGCCACGTGGCTACGACCAGAAAGACACGACGATACGTATGTTATCCGGTAAAGATTCGATAGATGCTTGGGTGACCACCAGTCTACTAACATTACCAAAAAGATTACCGAGAAGATTACCGAGAAGATTACCGAGAAGATTACCGAGAAGTCTCTGAAATGCGAGTCCGACACCTGCAAATACTCCGTGATGAAGACGTGGAAATTGGGATTCGTGCATTTCTACCCCAAGTGGACGATTGGCTAAGTGGAACACTGCCTCTCCCGAAGAAAAACTCCCATGACCTTGGTATTATTACTCCATCAGTGGATGTTGATAGGCAATTGATCCCGGTTCGAGACCTGCTATACAAAGGGGTAAGGCTCTATGACGAGGTTAATGAGCGTCCATTGATAATATGAATAGTACGGGTCATTCGCCCTCATACGCACGTCTCGAGATATTCTGTCCCCTCAAAACATCTCCAAGGCTGTCTATACTGTGCTAAGGGTGGACGGGCCAGGCTTGATTGGCACCCAAAAAGTGGCTGTAGGCGAGTCTATCTTGGTCAAAAACCAGGTCATCTTAACTGCTGGTTTGATCCTCCTCATCAGTCTCTCCCCAACCATGGTAGTTGGACGAACAGCTTAGCAGAGGCATATGGTCGCAGTGTATTTTAGCAGAAATTATACGGATTGTTTGTACTATGGACGCAGTGGCCAAACTGGGAAGGCTTCGACCTGTTTGGTCACTATTAATGACCATCGTATTTAGAAAATTTTTTTTGGTCGATATTTTTGCACATTACCAGAGAATACATGGGAAGGTGCGTATAGAGGAGAGATATGCACCAATATTCACTAGTACTTCCCAACTTAGTAGATTAAATGTACGAAGATGATATTCTCAGTTATATAGTAAACGCTACCACGAATAAGTTGAGAAAGTTGTCTCTCTATCGTGAAGCAGTAACATCTTGAACATCTTTCAACTAATCCAATGGATACGGATCAGCCATAGAACGTGTCAAAGCTCAATAACTGTCTTAGCATGGTGGCAGAGTGCATCTAATCTTGTTGCAAGAAGGATTTTGCACCTGCTCGAACAGAGAATATGAAATCCATCACCGTCTCCTTACAGCTCAAATAGCAGGACTTCTCTGCCTCATTCATCTGGGTTTCTCTGGCTTTCGACATACGACTGCTATCACGGTAATAGCTGAAGCCCTGTTGCTTACGGTCTCCTCGGCTATCGATGTACGACCACCAACATGACACCGCGTCCTCCGCTTGTCTTCTCGTGCAGCCATCGAACAGATGAGTAGCTAAACTTGTATGTTGGCTCACCGCGGCTATCGTAATGCGAGTGCACATCTCCCGCCCCCGCCGCCAATACAATTAACAGGCCTCCTTCTACCTAAGCTCAGAAACCATTCGCATCACTACGAGCTTTTCCCGTATCGAGGTATTTCAATTTACTGATGAAGACGACAGAGCCCAATACAGTGGCGAATCGGGTGATAAGCGACTTGTAAATGACGACCAAACAATGCGCACACAATGAGATCGAACATCTCAGGTCTTATCCCTTTGTTTCTCTTACATACCCTTTTCTCCCTTTGAGAGTAACTCATCGGCTCATTGCGGGCCCTTTTCCAGTAAATGGCACTTATATTTAGAGCCGTACCATCTGCTTTGAGCAGAAAGTCAGAGGTGCTTACAGGATGCTCTGGCATGCCAGTTGCTTCTTCCCTCTGGGGTGCTCCTTGTACAGTAGTAGCAGGATATACCATCTTGTTCGCATGACTAAATGGCCACTTAGAAAATAGTTCCACTGCATCTGTACGAATCAGACTGAACGAATAATTGGGCACAAATGTCAAATGCTCTCCTGTAAGAATGAAATTGATGAGCCCCTCAGTCTACATGTGCGCCCATCACATGGTGAAGCCTGGCACGGACGACATCCGCCGGTAGAAAATATTGGACAAACGAAAAGGGCAGATGCTTGATGAAAGGAGCTCTTTGTTGGATCATGCGCTGATTGTGATTACCGTTCAACATGTTTCCCCCTCATTATCTCTCCGTATTCTGAGATATGACCCTGAAATCTTTTAATAGTGCACATGCGACGCCAATGGAGTGGTCGACAATCATGATAAGGTTTGCAAGCTAGAGAGTGGAATCCCCAGGTAGGCAATATCGGTTGGCCGTAGAGAAAAGCAGCACGTATGATCTCCATGAAACGCCTGGGATTGGAAGAGTGACACATCGAAAGGATCTTCGACACGTCAACAGATACAGGTAACCACCAAAATCACCACGACTCTCTCACTCTGCTGTATATGGTGTCTGCTACAGTTCCTAACATGGAAAGTATCGAGCAGTCTCTATGTTGAGGCTGGCACGGATCGAAGCTAGTACGTGAGCCAGGATATGTCGAAAAAGCGGGATGGGGTTCGTGACCTGCCGTGCCCTTCTACTGACGCGCCGAAATTCAGTCAGGGACAGAAAGTCATGCTGGAGTGTTGAGCGGAGCGCCTGGAGTCGCCGAACTAAACCGTGTAGTATGTTAGCCAGTAGTATTCCTATGTGTTATCTCAAGAGGTAGATAATGGGCTTCCAGTTCCACTATGGAACGGCAGTGACAATAACCAATATGCATTGATCTGAAGAGCGGCATTTAGCATGGAAAGTGAATATGCACCCATCGGACTAATTTACAGCGAGCGCTTCTTCCATACTACCCCTGACAAACAATAGCATCTAATGGTCCTCGGCCTCTTCGTTCCGAAACTCGGCGAATCTATCCCCCTGACCACCATCGGCTTTTTGTGCGTGCAACCTCAGGTACAGCGTCAGCATCGAGCCGTAAGGGCTTTATTCCAGTATCGAGTGGTAGGAAGCCCATATCAATATCATTTCGAGCATCCGACTGTCTGTTGACCAGCTCTCGCAGTAAATATTTGTAGTGGACACCAGCTGTAGTGAGAGTTTCAATAAAGTCAAGCCTGACAAAGTTCAAGACCACCCCCCACCTATAGATATTTGGATTGAGACGCGGAATTTCAGATTAGGCACGTACACTCAGTGAACACAACGACATAATTGCTGTTGTTCCATACTGATTGCAAGCAATGTATATCCCTTCATCTCATCGACTGATGGGCTACCATCCTTAATGAAAAACTCAATAGTATCCTTAATTAGTAGGAGGGGTTCTCGCGTCCAATAAAGCGTGTTCCCCAAAAGATTCGCATTGATGCACCTGTTGGATTCACTGAAGGTAACAATCCAATGGGCTGGGCAGTGAGCAGTTGAAACGAGCTGAGTCTTGATGGAGCCTTGGACCATTGTGACAGCAATGACGCTGAAGGCCTAGAAGATTTTCAGTAATCCTGGTAGACACTCTCATAAGTTGGCCTCAAGCAGCAGCGGACCAGTGAAACCAGAGAAGTAAAGCTACTTTATAAGTAAGATGTCGGGGGGGTAGGTGTATTTAAGCCCATGGGTCGCGCAGTCCCTAGGAATCAAAGCACCCAATAGATCATTCACCGAAATTAAGCTTTGAGTAATATGGGGACGCTTCTAATATAATTCCTTCTTGGCTTTGCTGAATTCCCGGCTAGTACCTCTTTCGTAAGCGGTTAGAGAGGCGGCATCTCGTCCTATGAGACCAGAGGCTCAATGTCGACGTTGAGGTTGGAAGTCAGATGAAATTCTCGAAAACCCAGAAAAGAAGGATTGTATACGCCGGTTATATAATACATAGGGTTCCCTATTGGGGTCCCCAGTCTTCTGACCGCGGGATAAGGGCATTCCAGGTCTATAACTTCTCTCTCTTTGTATCACCACATTTTGCCGAGCAGGGCAGGATACTTGATCTTGACGTATACGATAACATTATACGATGTGCATGATATTGTGTCGCAGGATGCGGGTCAGAAGGTTCAAAAAAATGGATTCTAATTTCATATTGCCAGCGAAGCAATGGGCTTGTTATGTGGCAAATTTCATAGCCCTTGGTAACTAAACAGGAGAAGAAATGCTTGAACTAGCCATTTTTCAGCTGCCTTCCCTAGTAGTCTTGGATCTTGCAAGCCAGGCGCAGTCCATCCATAAATTACCAATTCCGTGATACAATTTCTATGTTTTTGGTGCCAGCCTCATGACAATAGCAGTGCACAGGTATTCATGCCCGACGGTGTTTCTTGTTCCGGTTTTAATGAAGCGAAAGATCGATATAGATGTTGATTTTGTGAATTCCCTCGATGCATCCGTGACTTGCGGAGTGACAATTACACCTCTCCTTCATTTCCTTGGTACATAGATTACGCACTATATAAGTACAGACCTTCATCAATTGCTTGAGGAATACCGAGCGATCAGATCGCTCGTGGAATCATCCCTGAGCCCCATATTCTACTGGGCAGTATCCACTGCAGCAGTCTTCTATACACGTAACAATTTGTCTTCCAGATTCCAGCTTCACCAATTCGGTTTCAGAAATTTTGTAGACCTTAAACCACAACTCGCTCCCAGTATTCATTCCGACCATAGGGAAACTAAGCCGACGTGGGACGTAATAACACGGTTGAGCATTAGCAGAAATCCGGTCAACAATCCCCCAAGGGCCAGCGGCAGGACTAGAAGAGGGAGGTGGAGTCCAGGCGTCGGGGCATCCTCGGTTTGCGTACTTCGCGTAAGAAACCGACAGCACAAAGGAGGGAGTGCGGCAGGATGAGTCCTGTCTCGAATAAGCCCTTTGTTATCTGGAAAGCGGATGTCGCATTTACGTGGATGTTTTGAAGCCCATTTGCGGCAATGCCGTCAAAATCGGAGGCCAATGCGGAGGCTGCAGACGTAGCCAAGAAGATTGATCGGACTGTATGTAGAAAGGTGATGATCTTGATCCAACAAGTGCGAGGCACGAACTGGGATACGGTAGGAAATGAGACACGAGTATTCAGCACGAGTTCAGCGATGCGTGAATTTGGTTCTCCCAGCTCAAATAAAGATATCACTCTTACTCTGCCAAAATCGTAATTCTGTGGCAAGATCCTTTACATATCTCTGGCCAAGAACCTATACGGGTTGAATTGAATATATGTACTAGAAATTTGCTTGAAGGTGCTTACCACCCAACTACTCATATCGTAGATACGCCTCTTCCACCGAGCATATCCTTGGCGTGATGTGGTGAATGAGCCACAGTCGGATACTGAGAAGCGGAAGTGCGGCCCATTCGGTTGTTCCTTGGATTAGCCCCAGCCTCGTGCTTCCACAAAGGCATCAGGACATGCTCCACATCCAGCCCTTATTGACCCTGTTGGTCAGAGATGCGTGAGATGCCGAAACTCCATGTCTACTAGTTGGAGGTTCCATCCGGCGCTTGTGTTCTGCTCTCACCATAATCATGGGTCAGTAAGCGCATCCTCAGTCTCCCAAAAGAGGTCATCGTTGAAATCCTCGTCGTGAACCGTAGGCCCATAGGGGTCTGGACCAGGATGCAGAGGGGCACTGAGCACCCCCGACTTCCTGCTTCTCGCGGCCTGAACTTGCCTGGAACTTACTTGTAGGTGAGCATACACCATGGACCGGGTCACTCTGTGCAGCCCGGTCGTTTTGTTACCCTTGCACAGTTCACCATTGTTGGCTCTGGCTTATGCACTCGGGCTGGTCCGATATAGAAATTTGTGCTTTATGACTTGTAGCTCGGTGTGTGGGGGGGTGGGGAGGGGGATGAAGGTGGAAAATACGATCAAGACCATAAAGGTCTATACTGTAATCGATGAAAGAGTGCACAAGCGCTGAGTCTAATGATCAGGCACGCTAAACCTCTTCAGTAAATTGTTCCTCCATATGGAGGGTCATGCTACAAATACATTTTAGCGCGTGAAGTTAGGATAAGAGTCACGGCCCCGACCTCCACGGGCATTTCCCATGTTACTCAGCTCAAGGTCTAACCAGGTAATATAAATTCGCTGGGCATGCATGGCCAAGTGATCAACTTAACCATCTTGGGAACGGTACGGGTCGTGAGAATCTGCGGGGGCATTGGCACTTGTTCGCAGGGCAAGGCTAGTAAGCTGTCCCTAATCTGTTAAAGTGCCTCACTACCGCTTAGTGTCGAAGTTCCCGGCCTTTATAAAGAAAGTCACCTTCGTGGACCCCTTAACGACAGACAGCTTTCATGCTACAGTATACCGTCTCATACTACGTCTCAAATCATTATAAAGGATTGCCATTTGATATGACTTTTCATGTCTTACGTTTCGCTAGTGCTCTGACTGGAGTGAGAAGGCTGATCTCCCGGTGAGGCCGAGCCAATACCTCCAAGGCCAGTGAGGATAAGGCATTGTTGGGCCAGGAGATGTTTCAATGGTACCGTCGAGCCTTACTTGGAGATATTTGTCTGCTGAATTATGAGCTTTAGCAAGCCTGCGTACACACCAAGTGAGAAGAAAAGCTCGTTTCGACTGGCTGTCACAAAAATAAATAATCGCTACGGTTGTAGGAAGTGCTGCTACACTACAGGTAAGCGACCAAGTTTTTATAGATTTTTGGTTCTCTAGATTGTCCAGGATGCATCCTCCACGGTTTAGGTGGGGAGAATATTCCCTTTCTTCTAGCAAGAGGACGGAATTCCTACTGCACAGCTTCGTCCCCGTCGCTCCTGCAACAGTATTCTGATGGCTCTCACTTGGAATCTATTTATACTAGTCCGGACCTCTTTCATTGTCCTAGCAAGTTCGTGCGTTCCTCGGAATTCGACGCAATCTGATACGTGCCCGAAATGAGCAGAGAGTTTTATGGAGATTTTACCACAGCAAATGAAGAGTAGTGGATCGGGTGTGGGAGACGCCGACTTCGAGGGACGTCTAATTTGTTGTCGCCACTCACTGCCATCTGATTGGAATCATCCTTTGACGGGAAGCGGTTGAATATTTCGGATAAGTGCGGACCAGTATTTCTCCTGACGATCATGCGTGATAGTTTGCGTCGTTGCTTTCCGCGCGGGCACCTAAACCGCTGTCCCTCTATCCGGACTTGCTCCCCCGTGAAGCATGTTGGAGCAGAATATGGGGTTGATTGTTTGCCTTGTTGTTCGCTCTGCGCCTAGAGAGTATCACGGCACTAACCCAGATGCTATGTGCTTGCCCGTTGAACGCCAGTAGTCTGGTGAGTGGAGGAAACGATATGATGATACATCTTGCTCGCAATGGATGTCGAAGGGGGCGTGCGGTTGTAGTTAGCCTAATAATTTAAGACATCGTTGGCCGCTTCCAGGGGACGATTCTGTACTGCAAAAGGTAATCCTGAACTCTGCTGCAAGGCATAGGCAAGAAGGGACATTCTTTGCAATTATAGCCGATAGATGGACGTTATGATTTGACGTCTACTCCGCGCAAGCTGACGAGATATGTGGGCGAATCTGTCCCCCTGCGTCCAGAACACCCACGACGTACCCAGTAGCGGCTACGTGAAGAACGTGTGAATGGATTCAATTGTAGATAGTAATGACCAGAGTGAGCCTCTTTATCAGCACGCTCTGGGCATAGGAGAGCGTTATCGTATGGCGTTGGGTGGTCATGATTAAGTTGTGGCCTCCTGCGCGGATACGTCACCAATGCTGTCGCGCGCGCTCCAGTACTTCGAGTGCAGATTTCGACATTAGTTCGTGAATTCAAGCTACCCTAGCCTAAAATTGGTCTAGACTAGACCGAAATAAGATTGCCGTTCAGCAAAGCAGACCGAGTAATCCCTTGGACAATAATGTCAGTCAGCTTCCGTTCCGCCATTGTTCGAATCATTATAGTACGACTCAAACAAGACGGCCAAACTATGTATTTCAATTCTATCCACTAATGGCCTGTATCACGAGAGCAATTGGTAGGCGTCTCCGGGTCTGTCCCCATTTGATGGCTCCACTAACGAGAGATAGGCCTCACACTACTTACTCGAGGCCCCAGGCGATAGCATGGGATGGATTGGCTGCCAGGTGTATCGGCGAGAGGAAGTACTTGCCCCAAATCCACAGCAAGGAGGCAGTCTGGGGTGTATTTACAATAGATGGGGCAATACGGGCTTCTCTTCACTTGTCGATGAGCTCCAATGAGTAATAACTACATGGTGTCAAACCCTCAAATCCTAGATTCCATAGTAAAGTCGTTATTTACACAAACGGGCTCTCCACTTCCTAAGGGTCGGGAGAGAGATTGAACTTTTCAAACCACTAAATGGCAATTTTAGGCATCATCGAGCCGGCGCATTTTGCGGGGACAGATGAGCTTGAAACCGACGTATATTTCCGCCTGAGGCACCTATGGGCTGCGGCCGAACGGGTGGGCCAGCTGGTAAACAACCCGACACGCGTCCCTTGGCATGGCTTTCCCCAACTACAGGAACAAGTTTTGGGGGAAATTCGACCGCACCGCTGCCTTTCCCTCTCGCCCACTGTCCCCTTCTGACACCCAGATCGATGACGTTACGGATGTCCGGAACAGGCAGACCTATCTAGAGCGTCTCTTCGGAATATTGAGCGAGACACGGTAGGCAACTTTGTCGAAAAGGTCATTGAGGCTTTGCGAGACGATGAACACCTTCAACGTGAGTTTGGCATTCAAGGCTGAGTCACCTACGGTCGCACAAACCCATCGGAAACTTCGCTGGAGAACAGCCTGGAGCAAATGATTCTCGAGGACGCGCGGACACCCTAACGACCGGCGAACACTAGGCTTGGAAGAGGTTCAGGAAGGGGACGAGGAGCTGCGCAGAGACAGAAGAGGGGTGGCACTGCGCGAAAACGCGATCGGTGCGCCGACCAGTTCTGCGTGCACCTTGTGGAGGGTGAACGGCAAATACCCGTGTATGCAGTGGAGTTCGAAGCGCCGCACAAAGTGACGATCCCTGAATTGGTGGGGTGGCGGGTCTACACCGATGGATCTGGCTCGCGATGTCGTTGACCAAGAAGACGACACATTTGGATTATATGCCAACTCGCCTCGTCGCCGCCATGGTCACTCAGATATTCTTATACATGATAGACAGTGGCTTTCATTACGGCTACATATGCACAGGGGAGGCTTTGGTTTTCCTCCACAACCCAAAAATTAATCCCACCATTGTTCAAAATATTCCTTGTGTATCCCGAATCAGGATGTGCAGGACGATGAATTGCGCCTCCACCGGACCGCTACCGGCCAAGTGCATGGGCTCACGCTTCAAGCGCTGGCCGTCGAACCTCTCACTGGAAATGAGATCGGAAGTACGCAACGCACGCGCTCGCGCTCGTTGTCAACCAGTCGTATCTACACCCAAACACTCGTCCACCGAAGGCAGCGGCAGTGAGCAATAATCGCATTCGCCATCTGCCGCAGCAGCGTCGCACAGCCGACCGAGCCGCGGCCTGAGGGAACAATCCAGGGGGAGCGAAAGGACACGAACCGGGCGGGACAATGAAAAGTCTTCTCGAAAGACGGGCTTTCTACACGACCACACTGCACAACTGCCTGCATCCGCGGCTTGTTCGACCGAGAATCTCTAGATATAAAGTACCCCGACTGGAAACCCCACTACAGCCAGAGACACTCCATCGGACTGCAGGAGTTCACACACCATTTTCATTGTCAACTTGCCGGAGGTCGAGTCTTTGGATTCGAACAGTTGCACACGTGTGGTCGGACAGAAAACCGATACCTCGGCAAAGTCACCCTCGTTCCCTGCGGATACACGGTAATTATTTGTAACTACGCCTGTGGAGAAACAGCATCGTCTTCAAGCGGAAGTGGACAATTATCACCTCCCTAGGAACTTATAGGGTCAACACATCCCTGTGCGTCTTGGGGACTTTAAGCCTCGTCTGACATAGTGGTACCACGGCAGAAGAATGACGCAGAAGATGATCTTGAGCCGGTCTGGAACGCGGCTTCAGCATGTCATCCATGACAAGAACCCAGCTTCTTTCATCAGGCGCGCAACAAAGCTCTGGCCGAGATCTGTTCGTGTGGAGCTACCCACTGCGACAGTGAGTGGCGTAACATGCTGTGGGATGACCTGAGTGGCCATCTGGTTGTAGTTGACCTGGAGGACATGAAATGGTTGAAGCGCCCTGGGGCCCTCGATTACATCTCGGACAGTACGCAGCGTACTCGCTGCGTCGGAGCGATGAAATATAAGCCCGGCTTCAAAAAGGTGGAGTATACTGTAAACAGTATGGCAGTATCTCAGGCCCGTGACAATCTATTCGGAAACGTTGCAAAGCATGCCGCCACAAGACGTCGTGGTCTTTATCTTAGACCGAGTAGTAAATACGCATTTTGCAACACGAACCGTACATGTTGCAAGAACCCGTCTGCACGGCAGGCTTGAGCGGCGGAACTGTTACACGACTTCTAGGTCAGCTGCTAGAGATACATACATCTCATCAACCAGTCCCCCTTCGATCGAAATCTTTCTAAAGTTTTCTATTCAATTTCGCGGCCAGCTCCAAGTATTTGTAGCTCACGCGATTGGTATCCGCCTCCGCAAGAGCATGTTCAGTCACCCAACAGTGGCTCAGATCATCTTCCCCAACGTTAGTGTCCCGATGAGATTATCCAAAACTTCTTTCCCTCCTTGGATGCTAATAGAATCTGATAACTGCTTGTCGCCGAACATAACGATACGATCACTGGCTTCACAGTCCGTGATTTCAAGGCGGTCTAAACAAAGTTCATCCCGAACGGTCGTGAGTAATGATTTCCAGGACTCAAGAGTTGGAAGTTCGGTTAATTCCAGATACAAGTCGCGCAAAGTCATTTTATGGGCAAGAAGTAGCCTAGCTAAATGATCTTCCGTACCACTGACTGTGTCGATCTCCAAGACGCGGAGATTCTTGAGGCAAATGCCTTCGCTTAGCGCCTTAAGATCCCCTACTTGAATACGAGAAGCAAAACCTAGACGTAGCACTTCAAGCCTGGAAAACTGCACGATAAATCGTACTAGATGCCTTGCCCAGGGCAACGCACTTCCCCTCTCTGGTGGCCCAACTGTGAAACGTAAGGTTGTGAGTGTCGAAGTAATAGGACTCATAGTGAGGCAGAAATCCGGGAGCTGCAGCATTCCTGGGTCCACTGGAACTCTAGACAACCCCACATAGAGTTCAAACCGCTCCAGTGGGACACAACCTGCAGCAACAGCAGCGAAGATGACATGAATCGCGCGGGCAAAGAATTTCCGGCTTTCTAAGCTGTCCAATGTGGAGTTTGGTTCAACACCGGTCAATTTCTCGAGAGAACGAGCCCCCCAAGGGCGGTGGTTAAGATCATCCTCAATGAATATTGTCCTGCAGTTTGTTGCCTTGGAAAGGCCTTGTGCGAGACATGCAGTGTCGTAGCCTGATGCTGCAAGATGGTCCTGCTCCGCTAAATGTTGTTCATAGCTGATTTTATCCACAGCAGCAGCTTCTTTATCCCGAAAGTTGGCTAGGTGACGTGCTGTAAGGTGATCAGGGTGGATCACGAGAACACGCAATGCACTACCAAAAGCAGGGTGAGTAGCCACATTTCGAAGGGTCTCAAGGGTATGTCGGCTTAATATGTGGCGTCGCGTCTCAAAAAATCTCATAGTGAATTCCTGGAATGACCTTGCTCGGAGACTTCTGTTGGCAAGGCGAAAATTGAGAAATTCCCTACTTTCCAATTTTCTCACAATCATGCCCACGATCTCTGTCGGAAGCTTATCCATTATATTGGCTGGATCACAGCAGGTGCTCACTGTTATCAGCTTTATGGTGGTTTGACGGAAACTAGTCAACAGACTGTAGCATGGTTGGAATAACGAGAGTTGTGGAGGCGATGTATAGCAGGGCTGCTTTTGGACGCGGCTGACCTGGCTCCCAAGACAGATGGGATGCAGATTGCCGCTTGTTTTTCCTTGGGAGTGGCGGCTCGTACACTGTTTATACGATCCGTGATGGAGGACCTAAGAACACCGAAGCCCTCTCTTAATGATGGGTGCTTCGGTGTGTGAAGGTTTGCTTTGATCTCTTGATAGGGATCAGAATGTTCGAAGCGTACAGGGATTTTCTGTTACAGTTAATTGTAATCACATGAGAGAACTTGGGATTTTTGGGGACAAAAAATCGTACGGGTTATGTTGAATACACGGCCTGCTGCCGGGGGTACCTGTTGAGGGTTCACGTGAGAGCGGCTAGTGTACGGTAGGCGTCTCGAACTCAACCTGGAACCCGCCAAGAGAAATGAGTAACGGTAATGGAAACGTAAAGATACCTCTTAACGATTCAACACCAGTCGAAAAAGTGGGCCTCGCAAAGGGAGTGAGTATATCAAAGGATTCTTGAAACATTTGGAAGCCAAGTTAAGGGATAGCCGCCCCTGACCCAGAGTGTCCCTGAGCCTGTCGACCATGCATTTCCCGCGCGACCCAACTTTTATCAATCGTAACGCTCTCCATGTCCAAATCAAGCGAGACCCTTGATTTCGGGGTCGATAGGTCTCTGTGTCTCGCGTGGGCCAGGAGTAGATGGGATCATATGATTGAATGCCACAAGCTGACAGCTGTCACCTAGGTCCACGTAAACCACGGTAGGATCCGCTATGTAGTCGAGTCCGATCCTTAAATATAGGTTATCGTCGGGCAGCTTTGAGCTGGTGGTATTTGGCTTGTATGGCAGCCGAAGTTCGGGTGGTGTCGAAAGAACGTTGAAGGCGTTGACGCTCCCATTGCTCGCGTTCAATATCACTTAAAATAGAGACGAGCTCGCTTTCAAGATCACTTGAAATAGGGACGAGCTGAAAAATGATGTTGCCTTGGGCAGATCCTCCCTTGACTTTCATATCATAATAGGGAGATCTGACTTGAGAAAGTATTTCAAGGCATTCAGAGCGGTGCATATCAAGAAACCCACTGATATGAAAACAGTTTTGCTCAGGAACGAATGATATAAGAACTTGCAGGATTGCGATCACATAACATTTTCGATAGTCGTTCAACGATTGAGTGGCCCACTTCACCATACTTTTTTCTCACTGTCGGAGCGGGTCTCATCGTATTGGAAATATTGTGCTGTGCGCTATCTCAAGTTGAAAAGGATATAGAGATAGCAGAATAGTTTGATTGTGAAGGGGGGGAGCTAATGTGGCCTTTTAAATTCAAAAAGGCGGAAAGAGATGGCAGAACCTTGTGGCATCCGACTGAAGTGTTTAATTTCTGACGCCCAGTAGGATCCGAAACTGCATCATGATGACAAACTCTGAAATCTGCATAGCTCTGCAACCTGTTAGTGTAGTGGTTCAGGCACGAGTGTGACCCAAATCCAACTGTATCAATCCTGGGAGCGGAACGGCTCCTGAGAACTTAGGTCGAAGTGTATCAGTTCATAGCCTATCTTGTACTTCGTGGTGATAAAAGAAGGTTTAAATCATACGCAGCCATAAAGTCTTCAGGACATTCTAAGTTAAAGTGCTTAAAGGCTACGCGACTGGCGGAATACGGGCATGCTGCTGTGGAATAGCAGAGCTTGATGGTAATTAAGTGGTACCAGGTGGATTGACGCAATATGAACTAACGTAATCAACGGTTGGACTGCCCACACGGTTGGGCGGCCCATCTGGTTATCCCATATAAAAGAAGTCTTTCTGAATCTTTTATATCTCAACCACTACTAAGGTTGAATAGTTCTAACTTTACATATAGATAATATATAGTAGAAAAATTGATATATATTTTTTTTCCACATTTTTGGAACTTATCTTATATGAAATATATTAATATATCTAAAATTACACACTATATACTTGCTCTATCTTTTTCTTTTTCTGTTGACATCAGCCATCAAAAGCCGTTGACCCTGCGGCCAGCTCGCAATGGGAACGCGAGGTCTTGAGGTTGTACGCTTCAATCGTCGTTACTACATTCGATATCACCGGCTCGGCAGCTACTTTGAGGCCCTCGGAGCCAAAATGTCCTTCCCTTCCCCCTCCCCCTCCCAAAAGAAAAGGAAAAAAAAAACAAAAAAGAAAAATTCATCCCCCACAGACCCTGACGAATACCAATGTGCATGAGAGAAGATAGTCTGTACTTTATAATAAGCTAACAAATGGCAGATTAGCTCCAGTCCATGCGAGCAGAGTATGCGGCCAAGGGCCCTTGAAGCCCTCGTCTATGAGATACGCGAAGGCGTCCAACCCGACTATTCGCAGTTTATAGCGAGTTGGTGTCGCTTCCTTCAGAGATACTGCGACTAGTTGACTTTAATGCCGAGTACATATACGTTATTAATCTCGACCACGAAGTTCTTAACATGAACTACGGCATACATTGGAAGCTGGGCAATCTCCCGAGTGAGAACAATATATGGCTTCACGCAATCGAAGACAGCATCTATATATACAAGCCCAAGATATCTCTCCAGAAGTGCCTGAAAGCGCACATGGCCTCGCTGGCTCTGCCGCCCAATTGGCAGATCGACTATAACTTTCGCCAGGTAACCCCGGTGACAGATATCACAGAGGCGCGAAAGGCATTTCTCACCCACGTCCTGGCCAATCTCCTTCTTGAATGTTTTGCTAGATATATGGTCCACGCACGTCAAAAATTATCGAAAAACGAAGAGGATTCGCTTGTCAAATGGATTCTATCTCTAGATGAGCGAGGCGCAAGTCACCGGCCGCTTGAAGTCAGAAATATGGCCAATCTGATCCTATCCAAACGAGGTCATACAACTCCCGAAGAGGTAGGCATCAGCTGGGCCTACAGCTTTGTTAAACGCCATGAGACCCTCCGAATCCGCTACGCCAGAAGATATAACCATCAAAGAGCTAAGATAGAGGATCCTGAGATTATAAAAGACTGGTTCAATCGGATCCAGGAGGTTATACAAGAGTACGGGATCTCATCAGATGACATCTATAATTTTGATGAAACGGGGTTTGCTATGGGGATAATCGCTACAGCTAAAGTAGTGACTAGTTCCCAGAGAGCTGGCCGGCCGTCTCTAGTTCAACCAGGGCATCGGGAATGGGTCACTTCAATTGAGTGTATTCGATCTAATGGAGTAGTTCTACCTCCGACTCTGATTTTCAAAGGCAAAACGCACCTCAAGGCCTGGTATGAAGGTCGATCCATTCCCCCTACCTGGAGGATTGAAGTCAGTGATAAAGGTTGGACCACTGATATCATTAGCCTTCGATGGCTTCAAAAACACTTTATCCCGTGGATCAGAGGCAAATCAGTGGGCAAGTACAGCCTCCTAGTGCTTGACGGCCGTGGCAGTCATTTGACTCCTGAATTTGATCAAACCTGCACTGAGAATAATGTTATTTCTATCTGTATGCCTGCGCATTCATCCCATCTACTTCAACCTCTGGATGTTGGTTGTTTTAGCGTGCTTAAATGCGCGTACGGAGGCATGATTCAAAGCAAGCACAATACGGCCGTGATCATATTGACAAGCTTGACTTCCTAGAGGTCTATCCTAAAGCGCACCAACAAACTTTAACAAAGTCAAATATCATCAGCGGATTTAGAGCAACAGGTCTTGTTCCCCTGGATCCTGATCAAGTACTCTCCCAGCTTAATATTCGCCTCAAAGACCACCTACTCCAGGTAGTCAGTCAAGTGGCTCAGTGCTTCAAACACCACATAATATAAGACATCTTTTGAAGCGTCAGAATACGGTGGAACGGCTACTTCGGAAACGGCAAGCAAGTCCAACTTCACCTACTCACTCTACACTACGTCAGCTTCTCAAAGGGTGCGAGCTAGCAATAACGAACTCGATCATACTGGCCAAGGAGAATGAGGGACTACGCGCTAGCCATGCAAAGGAGATGGCATTGCGCCGGATGGGTGGTTTCCCTTTGTCTCGTCGACTTTTAATTCTAGTACTCGAATTTCTTTGTGTCGATGAACCGACACGCTCGAATAAGCGTTCAAGCTCCATGACTGGGATGCCTTTTCCTAATCACTTTAACTTGGGACTTAAAAATCAAAACTGCCATTCCGGAATGTGGCCTGAATCGGCTCCCTAGATGGAGAAGGCCAAAATGAAAGGGGTCAAATCTCCATCTCGGGTTTGAAAATCCCTGAGCGTCTTCAGGCGATCACGCCGACCAGCACCGGTGGTTATCGCCAGCATGGAGTACCGGTGGGCAACATATGTTAGTGCTGTGTGCATAAGAAATATCCTAGTTATCCGACTACGTGGCTGTTGGCGAGATTAGAGGGGTTCGCTACGGCCGTTTTGCCTGAATGGGTAACGCTGCCGTACTGAAGACTAGATTTGTGAATCTAGCAACACAAGATGCCACCCTTACAGGAAACTGTACGTGTGTACCGAAGTCATAGACTGCTGGCCTGGCTAATACACATATGGTAGACAATCATTCTGCGAGCCAATTCAGCCCTTTCTGTTCAGCTACGGGTTGTCTGTCGCAAGCAGTCCGACATGGCTATTAATGGCCACTGAAATCCTAGAGGTACCGTTAAGGTTACCGTTAAGATTGCCTTTTGCTGTCATTTGAATAATGTCATCCGGATTTATGACTTGAAACGGCTGAAAGACTCCTGCCATATACTCCGAGTGTGAATAGGCGATCTGGAATACCTGTCGTGCAAGACCGGGATTGGATCTTTTGGATAGGTGGTCGCAGTAGAGTCATTGTAGTCCAGCTGTGTTCTAATCACAATACCTGGTCACAGCCCATTACTGTGATTCAGAAAAAGGCGGTAGAATAGTTATGGAATAGCTTTACGGGCGTATTGGACATGTGAAGAATGCCTAGTGGCTCTGTATGGGCTTCGAGGATACTAGTATTAGGATTCTTCAGCAACAGCCGGAATTCGCTGGTAGTACCCACCTACCCACCAATCAACTGCTATGCTACTATCGAAGCACAACTGATACTAGCGTAAAGTTTCAAGTCTCTGGATAAATGATTTTGAATCCACGATGAGTCTTAATCAGGAATATGAGGCGCTGCAAAGGAATCTATAGGGACAATAAGTTGCATTCAGCAGAGCTAATATCAGACTGGATAATACCCTAACGGGTTCTCAACATAATGGCTTATAGTAAATTATTCGCTCGACCATTACGGTAGCTACATTCCATGCTGACAAAAGTCGATTAGCTGAGCATTGAAACAGTTGCAATCGACCACTATAACTACTCCTGTTGTCTATATGGAATCTGCTATATGCTGTGCTTTGCCAAAATACAGTATCGCGGCTATCGACTAGCCTAGCGTGGATACTGTATCCGGACAGTGGTCTTTCAAGTAGCACCTATACAGCCTCCGAAAGAGAGCCTCTTTGCGACGCCTTTTTGGACTTTCGGAAATATATCCTTTTGGTCCATTTCCAACTCTCCACACCGAGGAAAAATAGGACAGTCTCCACGCCAACAATTCCCCACTCCCATGATAAGCCAGTGTGCTTAAAAACATCATGATTGATGACAGGGATATAGATAACAGGGAATACCAAGACAAAGCCTGCTAGGATTGCCCAGAACAGAAACTTGTTCCTCCAGACATCGTACACCCACTGAGTGAAATATCGCTTCGAGTTCGGTTGCATACGAAAGAACGATCGGCGCATGTCCACCATTTCCCAGGCGAGGAATAGGGCAAACCAGGTAAGCGAGATAAAGGTAGTTGCGCGTGCGCGAAAGACAGGTTCGCACTGCGAGTTAAAATCTCGGTTGCAATTGAGACCGAGGTCGCCGTTGCCAAATCCCCATATGACCAATGAAAAAGAACAAAGGCATAGAGCGGCCATCCAAAGACCATATACAAGGATATCCACAAGCACCTCCCATGTGAAAATACCTTTTTTCTGACGTGTAACTTATTAGCAACGGCCATGAGTTAGGTCTTTGGGATAAAACGCACGCTTTGCGGGGGGCGATCCATAATATCAGGCGCAGCAATTTCCATGCCAAGGCCCATATCCGGTAAACCAGAGGTAATCATGATTATCCAGAGAATCTCTACTGGCGATAAAGGGAAGACCGACTGAGCACTTGCATCCTTGAATGCCAGACCGATTAAAAGGGTGCATGCCTGAGCAACATTCTCGGATAGTAGATGCAAGACAAACCTCTGAATGTTGTCAAAAATCCGGCGTCCTTCTTCAATTGCGTTCAGAATAGATGCAAAATTGTCATCAGTTAGTACAATGTCTGAAGCATCTTTAGCCACATCGGACCCGCTTTGTCCCATGGCGATCCCAACATCCGCGATTTTCAGGGAGGGGGAGTCATTCACGCCATCTCCTGTCATTGCCACGAAGCGTCCACGCCTGTGGAGTGCATTGATCATGTTCACTTTAGTCTGCGGAGCACAACGGGCGATGACTCGGGGTAGGACAGGAAGAGCGTCAATCTCCTCCTCAGATAAATTATCGAATTGGCCACCTGTGAAGACCATAGACCGTGCAACATCGGCAGAAAGTTGCGGAAGATTCTCCGTTAATATGCCCACCTGCTGAGCAATCTTTTCCGCGGTTCCAGGGTGATCGCCTGTTAACATGTGCACTGATATGCCGGCATGGTGACATAACTGGACGGCTCTAGTTGCCTCAGGTCTGGGCGGGTCGTAGATGCCCACCAGGCCCAAGAAGCAAAGATCTTTCTCGACCTCCTCCCGGTTATCCGTATCGGGGACAGAGGTTCTCGTTGCAAGTGCAAGACCTCGAAGACCCATGTGCGTCAGGGATTCCATATTTCTCTTGATCTCTCCGCGATCCTCGTCGGACAGAGGTCTCGGCGCGGAGCTTTTGTTTGACGCGATGTCCGAGCATCTCTCCAGTATTCGCTCGACAGCGCCTTTTGTGAATGCCTGTGTCTTCTTATCGGCATTATTGGCGTATACAACTGACATCCGCTTGACATCGGAGTCAAAGGGGAACTCCACTTTCTGGGTCCATTTGGCATTTTCACCTTTGGTCCAGCGGTCCTTGTCCCAGGAGAATCTAGCTGCGAAGACTTGAATGGCAATCTCAGTTGGCTCTCCCCGGGCATGCCACTCGCCACCGTCGTCACCTTCGTGCGTTTTCCTATAAACATGGGCGAGGTTTGCCAACGAGCAGACGTTGAGGTATTCTTCGAGCCCCTCATCGTCTTTCAATAGTTCGTGGGGTTCTTTTATCTCTGCAGTCGTCTTCCTATCAATGCTGCTTGGGGCTAATCTTTGGAAACTGATCTCGCCAACTGTGGGATTGAACGGTTCATTGGTGCCCTCCAAGGAATAAGTTCCCCGCGACGCAACCCACGCCCGTTTCACGATCATTTTGCCTTGCGTCAATGTTCCTGTTTTATCCGAACATATATCTGTCACAGCCCCAAGTGCCTCGAGAGAGCTTAGTTTTCGGACAATAACATGGCGTTGTACCATCCGCTTCGTGCCAACTGCCATTGTAATCGTGAGAACCACCACAAGACAGGCAGGAATCATGCTGAGTCCTGTTGCCACAGCATAGAGGATCACCTCATTATTGTCCCTCCAGTAGTTCGCACTCATCACAACAATGGCGAACACAACTGCAATGCCAAAGAGAGCAACTGCCAACCTGGACAGCTTCTTCTGTAGAGGGGTCCCAATGTTCACTCCAAGAAACCGACCAATTGTATCAAAACCAGTTAGGGTCCATGCTTGGACGTACCATCGCTTTCTGGTCTCGCCACCAGGTCCACGCTTCACGGGCCGGTGTTTGCGTTGGCTTGCACGCAGTGCGGAAGCAATCTTCCCGATTTCTGTTTCCATGCCTGTTGCAACAGCAACACCCCTTGCTCGCCCCCTAGTTACAGTGCTTGAGCTATACGCAATATTCAGTCGATCACCTGGTCCGGTATCCTCATCGAATACCCCATCGGAGACCTTTTGAACAGGCAGCGACTCTCCAGTCAAGAGTGCCTCATCTGTTTCAAAATTGGCAACCTCAACCAGTCTGGTCATCCAAATGTTAGTGCATATTCCCCACATCTGCTAGACGGGGTCGCAACAGCCGCACCTCAGATCGGCCGGTATCATTTCCCCGGTCTTTACCTCAACAATGTCTCCCGGGACGATCTCCATGGCAGGAATGATGGCTATATGACCATCCCTTGACACGGTCCCACTTGGCGTTGTCAGCGATCGTAGAGATGCCATTGTTTTTTCCGCCGCGTACTCCTGAACGAACCCGACGACGATATTCAACCCAATAATAGCGGCGATAACGCCGCCCTCGATCCAAGATCGAATGCCGAAACTGACAGCCATTGCTAAGATCAATACCTGGTAGCAGTCTTTAGAACGGTACATGTACTTTCCTAGAGTATCGGACTAGACCGGTTAAGCAAGTCATCGGAGCTGAACTCACAAGCATCATCGCATTTGCTATTTGTCGCAGCAATATCTTCCAGATGGAGACACCTTCACCCTCATCCAATCGGTTATACCCGTAGGTATCTAGACGTGAATGGGCTTCAATGCTTGACAAGCCATCGTCTGCGTCAGTTGAGAGTTGTTCTAGGACTAAGCTGTACGGTAAGCAATGAGGGGGCTGGCGTAACCCTGGGCCTCTGTGCTTTTCGGCCCCTTGATGTGACATCTCTATCAATATGTGCACACACAAAAAGACAACTGCGACCACTTCTTTTTCCTAGTCGATACTAGAAACTAGGGGATTGTTGACTCCGGAAAGAATGCTTTCCTTTCACGACACCGGTTACAAAAGTTATTAGTCTTCGCGCCGTACAAGTGCCTCCTTCGACAGGCAAATTAAAGCAACCCCGCTTGGGACAGCAGATTCCGTGGACAGTTATGGTGACATCATTGACATTAAAAGTTACTGTGCGTCAGAGTTCAAGTTCCCAAACCAGGTCGATCCATATCTTTGGTCATGTGGTTCAACCTCTCAGCTCACGTTCAATTACTCTTGGTGTATTTTTGGTACGTTCCCGCGGGTCCGCATCTCTTGGATATCTGGGCAACCTCAGCGGACAGTAATGGGTGGCGCCAAAGAAGACAAACAACTGCAAATTCTGAAAATTTGTAAAAAAAGTGGACAAGCAGGAGTGGAGCCGATCTGGTCCCGAACGTCCTTTTCGACTGCCCCCAGCGAAGAGAGGCAAAATAAGCATGACGGACGCCATCTGTTTCTTTAACATCTTCTGACGCTTATGGAAGAGGAAACCTCTCAGGCCCGTATATCTCTCCAAATAATCATCATAGTCTCAGGATAACGGTTCTCTTAGGGAAGATTATCGGCTACTGCCTCATGGGGGTTGTTCCCGGCCTCTTGTGCATGTCTATTATCATATGGAGGCTACAATCACACCGACGAGCTCGCCGCGAGTCCGGCTACTCAAACAACAGCATTCTCAATGCCCCAGGCTCTTGTTGGGGAAGACAAAGAAGAACACTGTCCAAGACTGCATTGGAAGAAATTCCCATGTACAAGGCTGGAGGTTTTAACACTCCAAGAGTAATTAGCGGTATCTCTGATGTCGAAAGAGGTAAGAATCTGAGGCCAGCCTAACCAGCTGCAATCGGGTTAACAAAAAGTCAGGTCAAGAGACTTCCGATCAAGGTGGTGTGTCGTGCAGACCAGATAGCTCAGTAGGGGGTTCCTCGTATATATTATATTATCACGCTAATTCCTATTAGCCTTGCTCGGCGGGGGATATTAACCTGACTTGTGCTGTCTGCGCCGAAGACGTTACAGGAGGTCAGGTTGTACGAGACCTCCCTTGCCATCATCAATATCATGCGGAATGTATCGATGGCTGGCTCGTGAATATATCAGGATCTTGTCCCCTGTGGTATGTTTCTGGCGCGGATGCTTTTATTCATCGAGGAACCAGTTCTGACTAGGTCAACTTAGTCGCATGGATTTAAGGAATCATCGAAGCAAAGAGAATAATAGCCACCAAACTAGCAACATCAGTGATGATCCTGTCCGACCTCAACAAGCTGTTATTGCGCAGCATCCATACTCAGGATAGATCATTCAATACAGGAACCCGCGTTGAGGGAAACCCTGGGTGCGATCACAGACTATTGCAAGCCATGCTAGGTTACTATGATAACGTTTGGGTGCAAGATGGTGATCGTTGGTACAAGAGCTTTTACACTAGTACCACACCGTATAATGTGCCATGTTTACCCGTGCATAGTCACATTAAGTATAAAGACGTGGGGGCTCGGTCAACGATTCACTTTTGCATTTTCTTAAATTTGCAGGCACAGCCTCCAGCAGCAAAATAAAATAGCCGCCACTAAGATAGCCGCCACCGAGATAACAGCCACCATTCCGCACCAGAACTTCTCGGCCGACATCCTCTGCTGTCGATAGAGGAAGCCATGCCATACTCCACAGTGTACATTAATCCGGAATGTCGTGGGTGTAGCGAACATTTTTATTTTAGCGGATCTAATGCGGTTTGACTGTCATGGCGGTTGCTGGTTCTAATTATGCTGGTGTTAATCTTGGTGCTCCATATGTTGATGTCAAATTTCCGCTATATGTTTCCTCGATATATTTCCTCGCAAAACCTAACAGTGACACAACATACTTGCAATGAATAACGAATTTAACTTTCGCACGAAGATAGGGTTAATCACTTCTTGTAAACTTATGCGTGCAACCTCATTACTACTATCGTAAGTCGTATCTCCAGCAGGAGACCAGACATCCAAGTAGCAGCAGTTCAGAACTTTCACATCGAGAATTATTCCATTTGTGGATGATCCCCAGACTTCCGGGCGCTGACAATGATAAGCGCATATTTATACAATTTGTAAGTCTGTCATTAATCACTTGTTTTTATGGTGGCAGAGGACATAAAGTCGGAACTTCGCACCGACCATCCTCTGAATACTAGTCTGGATAGGTCAAGGAGAACCAAGAAGGTGGGGTTTGCGTCATACAGGGGTGTGATTACGATTAGTGGAGAAACATACAATATGCCTTAGAATTCAGTACTGATAAACATCTTCTAGCAGCTCTTGAATGGCAATAGACGAATAGTGAACTATGCCATATTCAGTGCCTTGACTCACTAGTCATAACCACGATGGAAGGACGGTCATACATTTTTCTTTTGAATGTATTTTAAATCGGAGGAAAAATGAGAATTTGTATTTTGTCGGTCCATTAGTGATATGCCAATCAGATCAACAAAAGCAATAATGGGAGTGTTACGAAGAGCGCAACCCCAGCTACTGGGTGTTTCCCAAAACCTGGATCAGAATATCCGGTGTTATATGGCCAGACCTATGCGCCCATACACATTCTCCAGCATTGAATATAAGGTCACCACAGTTCTGGCCAGATAGTTCAGTTGAGTATGTAGAATTTCTAGCGCTCATACATCCACCCGGATTGTCGTTAAAAACCCCAGGAAGATCAAGCTTGGAGTGAATGCGATTACCATCGTCACTGAATATGGGAAAATTGCAGGATGTCTCTTCGGCGTACGTGGGAATGTGAGATGGATCACCAGTACCAATGATTATAACTCGAGCCGGTCCGAAGGGAGGGGGTATATTCGAGAGAACAGGCAGGGTCAGTTGACTTGACAAGGAACGAACAAATCTCTTATCGCAGGCGCAATAAAAATGTCTTACTGTAATCCAGGATCAGCTCGTCTCGGAGGATAAACTCTGGCACAATAGAATTAGTACCGAAAATGACAATAACCGTATGCACCCCATCCTTAGACGCGACCACGTCTCGAAGCCGACTGGCGGTCCCATTTGAAGATAGGATACGGAAATCTTTGGCCTCAGCGACGGTTTCGGTGTCAGGAAGTGTATGTGGAGATCTTAGAAACGACTCTGGCATTCTTTGCTGTATGTGAAATGTGCAATAACCGCAAATTCTGTTGCAGCTGCTTCGAAGGTTGTTTGCAGTCAAGTAGTCTACAGGTGGTCATTGATACATCATTGACCCTTCTTGATATAAGTTACCGGCATAAATAACGTCCATATGATCTCAGTATCTGAATCAGCACGAGTCATCTAACGGCTGCTGAGATCGATAATCGTGCATTCGTGCTGTTCTATTACGTGACGTTTGATTGGCGTCGCCGCGTCATTCATGACGTTGACGTTTCATATGATCCCCTCGCCTTGGGTCGATTGTGGACCACGAGGCCACTAGACTACCTGCGGATCCGTGGGTGGGTTGGTCCAGTAGTAACAGTGAACCTTGGACCCAATCACCCTAAACTACTACTTTCTTAACGAACTTGGGGCCTTGTCAAGGCCCGTGGTAGCCGGTGCCTGGTGTTGTGGGGTTTGTGGTGTACCGCCCTCGTGACGCGCGACATTGAAACCTCTGCAATGCCTCAGCAAAGTCCAGCACTGCCTCTAGGACGCTAGTGTCCTGCGGAACATTTTATGTTGAAACGACGTTTGCTCCCCCCAACATCTCAGAATAATTTTTGAAAGGCCCTCCAATAATCTCTTGGCCTAGCCCCTTAAGCCGTAGGAAGTCGATCCGTAGCGTCTTACTCCCGGTGCATGCCGTACTTGTGCCCGATGTACACCTCGGCCGCGAGATCAAGGAGAAAGATCAAGTTAACTGATACAGGCTGATGACTGCACACCAGAAATATTAAAGTTACCTGAAACGCCAACGTATGTCTTGGGTCCGATGCGCTTGTAAGCCGGGTCTAGAAGATGTACAAAGCCTGTAGCAAGGACAGCGTTCTTACAGACGTAGCGCGCGAAAACATACACGCTTGGTGGGGCATTCCGGGGGAGTATGCGCTTAGCCACGACAGGCAAGGTAAAGGTCGTAGAGACGAAGGAGATGAGAATGGAAGGGACTCGGGCTCCTATAAGACCGTTGTTTGTCATTTTCTGGAAATGCATAGTAGCACAGCACGTCTCCTTCGCTGGCAGTGTGGAGTTTCAGCTTTGAATATAGCCATGGCGAACCCAGTAACAGGAGATGCTGAACTGGAAGACTGGGGACAGTGTTGACTGGAAAGAGAATCGCGAAACACGAGCTGTAGATGATTCATCCAATAGCATGAACAGTGAGGATTTTGAACGGACCAACTGATCTTCAGTATCGTATTCCACTGAGCATGTCTGCCAAGTCCGTACCGGTTCTGCGGATTGCTCATGTGCATACATGTTAGCAGTGATAGCCGTGTTAAACTGCTGTGGAAGTTGGTCATTGCCGGTGTTAAAGATTCGGTTGGTACAAGTATCGTTGCCAAAGATACTCCGGCCTTCTTCATCGGCGTTACTTACGGATTGAGGCAAAGTTGTCACGTCACCACTGAGAATAAATATCTGAGGCGTCCTTGACACACATCTGATTCCGCCTGTCCCATGGTAATACCTACGTCGGCGTGTCTAAGTAACGGGGAATGATTCATACCACCGCCAGTCATGGCCGCCAAGCGACCGCGACGTTGAAGGGCGCTGATCCTGCACACCTTGGTCTGGGATGCGCAGCGGGCAATAACCAAGAGCAGAGTCGGCAACGCATCCACCTCTTCGTCTGAGAGTTTGTCAAATTACCTGCTGTCATAACCATAGAATCCGCGGCATCAGCAGCCACGATGCTAAAATCCGCGGGAGGGATGCCCAACTGCTCGTGCTGTGCCCGGATGATTGCCAGTGACCATGCGAACTTCTTCTTTACTAAGACATTGGCACCGAGCCTTTGCTTTCTTGGCCGTTCGGCGCATTCCGCTCCGGATCTCGGATAATGGACTCAATTTCGCCCAGCTGTTAATTTGGCTTGACCAATGGAGAAAATTATGCCAAGTCTTGTGAAGACCGAGACCACGATAAACTAGTGCTTGAAAAATTGAAGGACCTTCGCCAACTGCCAAAGATACGAAAGAGGGTTGTAATACTGTCTTGTGGAGGATCCTTTAGTCCCAATCCACATGTAGAGTTGTGGATAAAAGTACTTGACCATCCTTTCCCGACGTCTTATTCTAGTAAGTATATGCGGACTCTAATTGTCAACTACGTAAGAAGTGACCGTTAGTGGACAAGAGACCTTGGCAGAGTGCAAAAGTTTACATTGTCAGAGGGATAAGCCCGAGCTTGTTCATGCTGATGATGCAACTCGAGAGCCAATGTGTGATCTCTCGCCCGGTGCCACGGGATTTTGCAAACCCCATTCGCTGTTCCCTATACGCTTGCCGTAGAGTTTGATAATAATACCCACTGCGGCAGGACCAAGAATGGTATTGAGCAAGATTGCCCAGACCGCTGTGATAAAACCGTCCTCACTGACATATGCTGTCTCGTTGTAACCAATCTCTACAATTAACAGTCCAATTTCTCCCCGTGCTACCATGGCGGAGCCCAACAACAATGCCGAAAGCCAGATTGTTCCCGCGTTTCTCCTCTTTCTCCCACTACCTCCGGAAGTATGATTCTCTTCCTCAGCACTGCTCTTCTCCGAGCTAAGGGCTTTCTTTCGCAGGAATAGCGAACTAAAAGGGCTCCAGGTCCACAGTGGTAGCCATACCCCAACGATACCCGACGATAAGCTAAGCCATGTTAGTGAAATGATGGGGATGTAAATATATAGACGGCAGGCGCTATATTACCTTCCCAAACACCATGAGAAGCGTAAAGACGACGCCTCTCCATATCCGTTTACCCGTCCAGAGCTGCACAAAGGGGATGGCAAACCCGATACTTGCGAAGAATAAAGGCTCCATAAGATACTTCTGAACATCCATGAGGTATCTCTCGAAAGTGTGCACAAAGGTAGGGCTCTTATCTGCGAATTGCTCTCCTTCTTCGCGGCTCATCACGACAAAGGGTCCCTCTGGGTGCTTGCTCGGTATGTATGTAAGAAAAGTCCCGGCTAAAAATGCACCAAAGAGAACTGATGTGCCGGTGTATGCTGCGATACTAATAAACAGAGACAGAGATAATATCATCAGTATAATATTAGATATATGATCATATCGCGCAAAATAGTTCTCAATGTACCGCCGGAAGATCGGGGCGAAAAAGAACTTTGTCATAATAGGAGTTACAATTGCCATCGCAATTGACGCCACAATTGGACGTCCAATAAGCCACCCGAGATTCACATCGTTGCCGCCCTCAAGCGGACCCAATTTCCCGATGACGCTGCTTTAAGCCAGATGCCTGCTAGGATAGTCCTAACGACGACTATATGGTAAACTGACCTAGCCATAACGAGCCCGACAACGTCGTCGATAACAGCTGCGCTAACCAAAACGGAGCCAACTCGTGTCTGGGCGAGATCTACAGTACCGGAAGCTGAAGAAATGACCGCGACTGTGGTGCCTAGGTGTTATGAGTAAGTACACATGCCTCCCAAAAGAACTGAAAGGAAGAAAGACAAGCAAAGAAGATCCCAGAATTAAGTCAAAAATCCTACCTAACGATGTGGCTGATAGGGTTGCCCCGATAATAAAAGTTTCGACAGCACCTATGCGCACAAGTGAGCGTTCAAGTGTAAATCTGCCAAAACAACCAAGTCTTACCATATCCGAATCCAAGATAAAGAAGGATGTAAGATAGGCCTATGGGAAAGCAGACGCCCGTGGCAGCACCGAAAATGCTCAGCACCAGGTTTGTCTTCGCAAGATCGATGCGATCGCTAAGACCTCCTCTCATATGATTTTGTTATCACCTGTATGAATTCCCCGTGGAAGGCATACATCTACCTTCAAATATAATGAGGTCAGGCCAACATATCCAAGGACAAGAAATGTTGTCTCCCAATCGTCTTCGAGAATATCGGCGAGAGGTTTCCCATACACAATGCCAACTGCAATCTGACCAATGATACCCGCTCGGACAATCTTAGCGGATGTCCATTCCGCCAAAGATAAGATGTAAAAGGAGATGATGACCAAGATTTGTACAGCTGTACAGAATTAGTATAAAGTTGTGGTTTGGTATGGCAAATTGCTTTTTACGCATACTTCCTGGCTCGTGATATGGTAAAAAGCTGCCTGCCAAAGCTTGACTGAGCTTGACTATTCAGGCACAAGTCGATCGATAAGTAATTCAAGAGGAATGTTCACGCACCCAACCGAACCAGTGTAGCTGGCGAACAATTGCTTGCTCAAATTATATGAGGAGAAATTCTCCAGCTACACTGAACGCTTTTGTGGCCACCAAGACCCTTCGACGAGATACAGTACTACCGAACCTAAAACGTATTCCGGCATCTGGTCTTGACTGGAACCGGGAAGCACATATCGCGGCGATTGTGCAAGGCAGGAAGTCCACCCTTGGCACTCGGTCTTGGCACTTACGATGGATGACGTTGCGTCTGGGCGTCTGGGCGCCTAGACGCAGTTGGGTCCGTCCAGTTCCGCCCACATTTGCCCTCGGTTGTAACTAGGGCTTTTCTCCTGAAGTTTTCCTTCGTGTGCGCGGGAAACATGGGAATCTTATGTGACAATGGGCGCCGCTATCCAAGATCTCCCAATGATCCCTAGTGACTCGCCAGTTTTGGAGAAGGGGGAAGTGCACTGTAAATGCGAAACGTACATCTTATTACCCCAGCTTGGCAGCCTGACAGCAACGAATCTCCTGGAGCCACTCTGAGGAAAGTAACTCGGCTGCTCCGGGTCGATGCGCAGCATCGATACTTAGCATAGAGTGTAGCAATTCGCAGCTATGTTCCTGCAGATTGGGCAAGTTAGTGCCCAGGCAAATTTGGAGTGGCAAGGGAAGAACCTGACATGGGATATCTCTCTGACCAGGAAGTTATACTTCCCAACCCTTCGCTCCTCGAGGTAGTCTCTAAAGCATTCGTCCCGTTCAGTCGCTAGATTCCAGGGGTTCCTTCCTGCTCGCATTGCGATGTAAACAATAGCCGCAGCCCATATATCTGTTTTCCTTGGATCGAATGGCTCATCGAGATACTGCTCCGGAGAGATGTAAGGTGCTGAACCACGACGTCTGGTGCTCATATGTACTCGGTCGTCCCGAGAAATGCGAAAGAACTCTGCATTTCCAAAGTCAGAGATCTTAAGACAGCCGCGATTGGTGAGTAGAAGATTTTCAGGCTTTAAGTCACGGTGAGCGATATGCATCTCGTGAAGATAGAGAACACCGCGCACAAGCTGCTTGAAGAAGCAATCAGACTCCTCTGGCAGAAGTTGACGTGAAGCAATAATCAGGGAATATAGATCTCCGCCGGAGCAGTATTCCATGCAGGCACATAAATTCCCGTAGCCCACAGGTAGGAGATCGACTGTTTTTATAATATTCGGGTGACGCAGAGAGTATACGATTGAGGACTCTGATATCACTCGTCTGCGATGATCGGACTCCATTGGCTCCTGACCCTGCGGAAAAGTCTTCAGAGCGTAGCAGCAGTTATGTTGCGGCTTGTGGGCTCCTCCAGTCTTATGTGACATCAGCACCACACTGTGGGAGCCAACTCCTACAATTTCCTCGATCTGCCCATATTCCTGCGTAACCACTGCCAGTTTGTCGCTCTCGACTGGCCAGCCGCCCGAGCAACTTTCTGCCCACTGCTTCCATTCTCGTAGCAGTCTGACGCCGTTGCAGCGTTCATGCCCACCGGCGCATCGCCACCATCTTGGCATGAGGTCGTTTCCCCAACTACGCCTGTTCGGCTGCAGGCGAATTAAGTGATGGCAATGCTCCCCATTCAGCTGGATAAATCTATCTCGTTTGGGGGCAAGCTTCCGCCTTTTCTCTGCAGATGGTGGAAGCTCACGTATAGACTGCGCCCATTCTTGAGGCAAGACCGTGTGTCTCGATAAGAGCCGGTCACTGTCTTCTCCAGGCTCCAGTTCTTTCTGAGGGGTCAGAGAACCTGGCTGCTTAAGCAACTGCTGCAACAACGGCTGGAAACACCTAGACATCCCTTCGCGAGACAACACAAATTGCAGAATCTCATTGATATATGGCGAGCTTCCTGTGAGAAGCGGTGCGGAGTAGGTGATCAGGAATTAGTATTGCAGACTGGAACAGTGTAAGTGATACGAGGTGTGCGGGCGAGGGTGCATATATGTCAAAGTTATCATCTACGTCAGACGGCGCAAAGGCCCACTTTTATCCCAAACTGAAAGTCTTCATACCATGAGCATGATGCTTGGCATTACGTACACCCCTCATGAATGGTGGGAACTTATCTAGACTGGATTACTACAAAAGCTAACGCTTCTTTTAGCCCTAAAGGGAAAGGCCTTTTGATATACTCAACCATGGTTCTACAGTGCATCCACCTTTAACGCGCCGTTGGAAATCTGATCCGAAGCACGACAGCCTCCCTAGATCAGCATGTGCCGCTGCAGGTACCATGACGCTGGAAGAACTAATCTTCCTGTATTTCGGTTGGTATATATTCGTTCTAGTTGCAGTAATCTGTTACTAGTTTAGTCCAGCTTACCGGAGGATCAGACGGGGATATTGAAGTTTTTCAGAAACAAAGGTGTCCTGGCTTTCGCAATGGGTACTATGTACCAAGATACTGTGGACCAGGACACGACGCTCCGAAGTACAATGGGCGAGGGCTTCATCGAGGCTAAGCTCATTTCAAGGGAATACTGCCTGTCTCACTGGGTCATCACATTCAGCCAATCCGGTCAATGCATCAACGCCGATCTGTCGAAAGATGTAATTCGCTACTCACGGAGCCCCCTTCCAGAGGTCATCAGTTTCATCGGGTTTCGCATCAAGGATGCCAAACCCCCAATCAATAGGCTGCTGGAAGATTTGTGGCTTCCGTTCACGGAGCGACCCAGCGAATTCTGCGATTGCGTTCAATGGGTGTAAGTGCATAATGTGACATTCGGCCTTCCTGTACTGATAGGCTGCAGATGGGGGGTTATCTACAATTACTCCGGGCTTGACTATATCGAGACTGTCTCTACAACCGGTATTTCACGAAATGATTTGGTCGAGGAGCTAGTCCGCAGACAGTCAAACGCTTTGAACGGTATTGAATTGGGCCTTGCCTTGTCGGAGCTCGCCTGCATCGAGAATGATGGCAGTCAGGAGATTAGGTCTAATGATCGTAGCGGCAGTCATCCAGGAGCTAATCACGGAGATACGGAAATAAATGATGGAAAATAATCTGTCTTGGTTATTATGTATCTGGTCCTACTATATGCGTTTTTCAAAATCAATCCTGGTTTCACTGCTATACTCTGTAGGATAGGGACGACCGTGGTACCTGTAGACGGCTTCAAGCTCGAGCTGGAATACTCACATCTTCTCCAATCTCTCAAGTTATGCCAGAGCCACGGCAGAGGTAGGTGCATTAACCTCAAGTGGTAAGAGTCACTATTTTCTTTATCGGGGCAAGACAGACCTAAGGCCGTAGCGTTCATGACTAGTCAAAATTTCGTGATAGGAATATCCCTTTCTTATCAGTATGGGGCGCCTGCTCGTGTTGTTCCAGGACGAGTTAGGCGTTGGAGTACTCGCTTGTTGTACTGTATACGTAAGCAGCATAGCGTATCACGCGTAATACACCGGACCAAAAAACTTCTTAATACCTAATTCGGTCTACCTGCTAGGTCATCGGGAACGGTAAGAAAGCATGAAGCCTTCATGCTGCCTTAGTTCACCCTTCTCATAAGTAGTGGGCTTTCGTACAAGTGCTTCAAAAAGTTTGATGTCCTTGGTAAATGATTGGACGGTTAATAGCAAGCCCGGAACTTCTCCAGGGATCCAAACCATAAGTTGTTCAGGATATCATATTAATAAAATGCCAAGAAAGGTACCCAGTTGGGTATACCGCGCGGGTATACATAACTGGTTACCTTCTTCCTGGCGCTTAGAATCGAAGCAAAGCGCCAAGAGAGGTACCCACGGGTACTGGAACTTTCGCCTCCACGAGTTGTAATGGACAGACGTCATATAATGTCTGGAATGCTAATAGTGCCCAGAAAACACCCACGGGTACTTCAAAAATGATGGGTGACGTAGATTCAGACTTCTTCAGAGTTTGCACTGTTGTCTACTTTGACGCCACCTATTACCTGATGCTGCCCAAGAATGACCTGCAGTACGTACTTCAATTGCACCCAGGGCCTTTGAAGGTGCGTAAACAACTCTTACTGAGCCACATTGTTAAACTTACGGATCGACCTGATTCGGAAATTGAACTCTTGGCGCATGACTGTTGAATGCCAAAAAATGTCATCATAACTGTCCACAGAACCTCTCATCTCAAGGGAAGGTGGATTGATTTGCCTTCCTTAGGTGGCACTTCGCACGACGCCAAGCTATTACCAAACTCTACTAGCAGGACAGTCGCCCATGCATCCGACTTACCTATTTTGGCTTTCCCTTGCAGTCTGTCGGAAGTTGACACCGACACCTTGCCCGTGCCTTGTTCGTCATCGCAACCACCCCTTACCCCCATGTAGTGCTGGTTTGGTCAGATTCGTAATTCATAATGTAAACATCTCCTACCCTATGCAGTGACATGCATCACCGGCACTATGACCGACGACCCTCCAGCCCGCCAAGCCAGGGATCCCCGGCTAAACCAACCCATCTAACAGGCGGCGTGGCTACCCGAGCTCCCCCAAGCTAGCTCGCATTCCCCACCATCTATTGCTCTGGGCTTCTCATAGTCGGATCTATATGCTCCAGACTGACGATAGACTGACAAACTTGCCGCCTAGGTTGGTTCCTGGTTCTAACCAAATATCATATTAATTTCCAATCAAGTGACAGATTGGTTAGTCAGTAATCAACACGAATGCCGCAAGCATTACTTAATGCCACTGCAACCCAATGTAGGAATAGATTACAACCGTAAATATTATGGTTACAATTGTGTTATCAAGATTACCAGGTAAGTAGAGACAAATGTGATTTAGCACAGTAGGGGACCCGGGTCGCTCCGCCAGCATGACACAACTTGACACACGCACGCAAGCAGCAGGAGCAGCTTTCGCCACCCCCCTCTCGTAGTTCGGTCGGACGACTGATCCGTGTGGGCTGATTAATACGATGGGTAGCTGGGTGGGGACTACCTAACTCGTCTTAACAATGTATTCCTTTCTAGCCGATGTTGTGAAAGGAAAGTTTTCTTCTGGAGTCGATAATCCCCAGCTAATTTCTAGTATTGACTGGGGATAACGAAGTGGTCGCAGTTATTGTTTTTTTTTAGTGTGGCTATTGATGGCGAATTCACACCGAGGGGCCGAAAAGCACAAAGACCCAGGGTTGAGCCACCCCCCTCATTGCTTACCGCATACCGTAGTCCTTGAACAGCTCTCAACCGATGCAGATGACGGGTTGTCAGGCGATGAAGCCCCGTTCACGTCTAGATAACTACAGGTATGACCCATTGGATGAGGGTCAAGGAGTCCTCTAGAGAATATTGCTCTGCAAATAACAAGCGCGATGATGCTTGTGAGTTCTTTCATTTCCGATGGCTTGCTTGATTGGCCTCGTCCTATACTCTGGAAAAACAAATGCTCCCAGTATTGATCCTAGCAATGGACGTCAGCTTTGGCATCCAATCTTGGATTGAGGGTGGCGTTACCGTCGCTATTATCGGGCTAAATATCGTCGTAGGTTACTTTCAGGAGTACGCGGCGGAAAAAACCCATGGCTTCTCTACGATCGCTGACAACGCCGAGTAAGATCGTGTCGAGGGATGGCAATACAGTCGTCATTCCAGCAACGGGATTGTCCCCGGGGATATTGTTGAGGTTATTGCTGTACGGACACATTTTGGAGTCAGCATTGTTCTGTACGACACTCGAATAGTATAGATAAATAGGAAATTAAGCTCAGCTATCTGATTTAGCTATCTAACACGTACGAAGCCATGGTGGTGGTGGTGGTGTTGGTAATAGATATATTAATAGAAAGTAGAGGTAAGAGATACAACTTACTTAGTAGATTTAAACACTGTATTCACTATTTTAACTTTAAAATTCCTATTTTGTACATCCAGAGGCCTCACTACTGTAGATCCTACTCTGCCTGCCCTAGCCTGCCGTACGAACCCACGATTCTGCTATGTAGTAGAATAGTATACATTTAGAGACCTGATGGCCCATATTCGGCTGCCCGATTCTTATCATCCTCCCTGATCACATATCTTTTCCTCGTACGATGAGGCGGGGAGGAAGACTGGGATAGTTGATGCTTTAAAGGAGTATCCAAGGCCTCTATCTCAGCATCCAGAATTTCAAAATCATCCTAATTTTCTTGTGCAGTTGATTATTCTTGTACGACTGACTCCTCTTTCTCAATAATCTCCTTTTTAATCTTCTTTTTCTCCTTAATCTTGGTCTCATCTGCTTCATCTGTAGTAGAGAAAAATACTGTACAGCACTAAATAATCACGAAGACCTGAAGTTCAGGACCTTCACATTGCCTCTGGCTGTTGCAAATAGAAAGACCGGTTGCTTCCATATATTCCCTGTTAACAGACGGAATTGGTCATTGAAGCTGCGTACATACATACAGCCAGTCATATAGAAAAGCAGACTATCTCAGAGGAAGTCATTGAGGTTATAAAGTACATAATTATCAATATAAGTCTGTACCTGTTCTGTAGAATAATATGATTAGCATCATACAAGTAGTAATAATAGGCAGTCAAACCTAGCTGAATACATATAATAATTGGATTATCATCCTCAAATTGTCCTTCCTGTACGTTGTAGAGGTAGAAATAAATAATAGTATTAATACTGGCTGGTTCTTTTCAAGTCTTCTTACATAGAAAGGCATTCTGGTGGACATTCTCTTTTCGAAATACTGCCGTACGAGGACCAATAGCAGGGGGTGCGGGGGGATGCGGGGGGAATGCGGGTCCTATCTATCTGCGCAATCAGTGGTACACTGAATAGACCACATTTGTCTAATAACTTAAGATACGGAGTTACTTGGTATGTTGCAATGGATAGTTTCATCTGTCCAAATCTTGTAGACATGCGCAGTTCCGCTGGCCTTTACAGTGGGCTGATCCGAGCACGCCTCCCAAGCACATTCCAAAGATCCAACCTTATGTCGAGACACGATGGGGAAACGAACCCAAAGAGTCACGTAGAGCGCCTGCCCACAGGAAACTCGTAGATCCGACAACGCATCATATCCACTGCGGTAGTGGGGTACGGATATTGGGAAGGTTCAGGCGGCGGTCCCATTCTTCTCTGGCTCGAGCTTCCTTCCCGTGCGAGTCGGCCAGGGCCTCTTGTAGCTTGCGCATGCCCAGGAGGATGCGTCGGTTTCCCACCGGGCTGACTTCGGGTTCAAACTCCTGCTGCAGGATCAGATCATCGGACACCTCGACTGCCACGGCCGCGAGGTCGTCGAAGATTTTGAGGCATGTGCGGAAGAACCGGTTCTCATCTTCCTGGCGCTTCCATTGTCGCCACTTCTCTTCCAAGGTGTCTCGCAACGAAGGTGGACCGTTCTTTTTGGCATTTTGAAGCCGCACACGGGTCGTTTCGAGGGCCATGGTTGTTCCCCGGGCCAGCGCAATTTGATGGTCGATCAGATTGATCTCCGGGAGATCATGCCTTGCAGGAGAATCGGTGGGTGTCCTCCCCTTGCGCGGGATGGAGAGCGGAGGAACCGGGGCGACTTCAGGTTCTCGACTGTAGATGCTCGATGCTGTATCGTTGGCTGTTCTTCTCGTCCAGATTGCAGACAGCGGCATGGCTCCGTTGGAGATTAGATTTAAAGTAAAACTGGCCGCTTGTGCAGACGAAAGTGTGGAGTACCGATCCCGATACAGCACAATTATATGTATTCGGGGGGGTAGGGGGTTATGTGAGATTTGGATTGGGTGTACGCTAGCAGACACACTCAGAAGACGGACCAGAGTCTCCTTCACTGACACCTCCCAGAACCCCTCATTTTCGGGCTCAGACAGACGCTCGTTGGTTAAATCACGGCTTTCTTTTCCTGGACCCTACCGCGTGAAGCCTGGCCCATGCTCCGTTTGCTGGTAGGCGGAGAAGAACGTCATTTGGGTGTTGAGTGCTGCTGCCGAGCGCAATTGTTTGTCCGTGGAATAGGCCTGCCCGCTATATACAAGACGGTTTACCCACCCTAGCATTACCCGGTCCATCTGCAGACCGCACCTCGTCATTGTTGATCGGTATACTTGAGTGCATTGGCGCCCAAAAAAAAAAATAAATAAATAAATATCGATTACTACGGTACTGTAGAGAAACTAGGATTGAAGAAGCTGCGTAAAGTCACCGGAGTCCGGTTCAATGCCATGATCGTTGTCAAATGCACCCCCTCCGTCCTCCTGAGTATTCCACATATCCGGCACCGCTATCATTGCCGGTAGAGCAGTCGTCACGGCAGCAGGATCCGCCTTTTCTGGTAAACCAGCCGGGCTGCGAAGCCGTTGGTGCCAACTCGCAACGGTATGCTGCATTTCGTGCATCAGTTGTTGAGTCGCGCGCCGCTCAGGCAGCTGTTGTCTCCACTGATGCTGTTCGTTCAACAATTTCTGGATCTCACTTTCGACGCTTCCAACGCGCTCCGACAGGGTCTCTTTGCCTCTCTGCAACGCTTCAATCTCCCGCTCCAGTGTCTCGACCGTAGCCAAACATGCCTCGTGATTCTTCAGCGATGGGGCAGAAGGAGGGTCTCAAGAACCAGAACCAGATACCTGTGGCAGCTGGTGGGTGAGTGAAGTCAGCAGAATAACCAGGCCCTGGCAACCGTGCGCGGGGACTTACGATGGGTGGACGTCTAAGGGAGCGCGCAGGCTGCTGGGGAGAACGCATTACGGGCTCCAGTCTTTGGATAGATCGTTGGTCGGAAGCGGTACTGCGACTCTCGGTCTGCCGGGTGCGTGCGCGGATGCCCGCCCGCGGTTCTGACTTTGGCATTATTCGATGACAACAAAACTCGTAGAAGAACAACTGCGTATGTACTGTACCGTGCTGAAGAGAGAATTGGCCGGAGAAATTTGAATGCCTGGCCTGGCAAGAAAAAGCGGAGTGCCGTTGGCAATATCAAAAGGGTTTTAAGCAACAAGGTTAGCCAAAGCAAGTTCGTGATAATCGCCCATTGGTTCTTTTTCTCACGATGGCTCGGTGTCACCATAGTTGACCAAGTGAGACACAGTAGTGGTTGAGGTCTACGACAACCTGGTTTGCTACGGATCAAAGCGCGTGGGGTATTTTCTCGTCCAGCGCGGTCATTTGTCTAATTTGACCTCATTCACTCTGACCTCCACCACAATTTCTTAAGTTCTTAGTCTCTGAAACTTGCCCACCTAGCCCGTGGTTCAAGGCTCCTTTCCTTCAATGACACCGTCGCACAAAGTAGTATTGACTTGTGGAACGTGGAAAACCCTGGGCAACGAGACATGTCGAGTGGTGGGCGACGTGGGTAACTTATGGGGGATTGTTGGATTAATGCAACGGCATTCCCTGGGGAAAGAAACCCAGGACAACGAATCCTCCTCATTTGAGTGTTTCCTGGTCTCCCCTCCTCTTTCTTGTAGCCACGCAGTGCTGTACGTCTCCCCATGGCAGGCAATACATGTACTGTATCTGGATCTTGCCATTTGCGCCGGTCTTCTCTGCATGCGCAGTTCCCCCACTTACACCACATTTTGCGATTTCACTCTCGCTCCCCATGGCCAAGAGACACTACCGGGCCTGGACTCCCGGCGAGGAACAGGACTATCCATCATGGGTAGCGCGCCATCTCCATTTAACGTGGCCAGAGAGGGCTCGGAAATATTCGATCGAGCGCAAACCCAGAACGAAAGAGTCTCTGCGGACCAAATACCGGCTTCTGGAGAAAGACGTAAGACGGCACCGCCGCCCGATGTGCAAGACGCCATCGCGGCTCGGACGTCAGATCCCCAGGAGACTAGGTCGTGGCCAGCACAGAAATTGGCCCAGTCCCATCTCGATCAGCACCCCCACTCCTTCCGAGCATCGTTCAGACGATCCAAGCCCTCTAGCGATGCGGGTAATGAGGCCACCGGGCCCTACACGCGTCGCCCGTCCGCAGAACCACGGTCAGACCGCACGGTCGAATCAG